CCCCCTTCTTGGGCACCAGAGTGACCACTGCCCTCCTGCAACTCTGTGGCAGCTCGCCTTTTTCTAAGCTCACGTTCAGCACTTCGACCAGGGAAGCCGAGCTCACCCCAAAAAACTTAAAAAACTCGGCTGGGAGGCCGTCGATCCCAGGCGCCTTCCCAGTAGCTAAGCCCCTCACCGCAGCCTCCAGCTCCTGGAGCGTGACCAGGCCTTCCAGCTGCTCCATCTCGGAGGAGGTAAGTCTGGGTGCTCCCTCTAGCAATTCTCCTAGAGCATCCTCATGGATGCTTTCTTCTGCCGTGAACAGCTCCTGGTAAAAACTCTTCACGACCCTAGCGATGCCCTCGTCGCTCGTATGGATTCCACCACTCGGTGCTCGCAGGCTGGAGATAAGGTTTTTGGTGATCGGCTGTCTCTGTTGCCTGAAAAACAATTTAGTCGGCGCATCCATCTTAGCAGATGCTGCATTTTCTGGTTCGCAAAAGCCTTGTAGGCCTCCCTGTCTGACACAGACCTGAGTAGCCGTTGCTGCTCCCAGAGCGTGCGGCAATCCGTATTAGTTTGGGGTGAGCCCAGCTCTGCTTTCGAGCGCCAGCAGTCCATTCCTTAGCCGCTCCTCCTGCTCCCCCTAGCTACGGCGTGCTGGCTCATGAACCGCTGGCAAAGCGACCCTACCTGCACCTTCCCATTGTCCCACCATTGCTGGAGCGAGTCGAAGGCGTGCTTGCGCGTTACCCACCCCTTCCAGAAGGCCCTGAAGCCGTCTGGAAGTCCGCGTTCTCTAAAAGTTGGAGGTTAAACGCCAGTAGGGCCTACGATGCCCAACAAGGGGGAGGCGCAGGCGCACCGTCACCAGGTGGTGGTCGGAGAAGCCGGACGGCACTATCCGCTCGCCCAGCAGGTTAACGCCGTCCGCGTTCACATAGAGGCGGTCCAGCCTCGCGAGGCTGATTCGCCCTTGTGCACTACACCGGCACCACGTATACTGGCGCTGGGCCGGATGTTGCAGGCGCCACGTGTCGTATAGGTTAAGCCTCCGTACTACGTCAGCTAAACCTGCGCAATTCCGGGTGGGGCTCGGCGCCATTACGGGCAGCCCGGGTCGAGGTGCAATTAAAATCGCCCCCGACGACCGTGAGCATTCCGGCAGCGTCGGCTTCCTCCAGAGTGTCTCGCAGCGCGCCCGAGAAGAAGAGTCCTCTCTCGTGGCTCGCGCTAGGTGCGTATGCGTTGACTAACCGCAGCTTGACATCGCCGAGCGCAAACTCCGCCGTGATGAGGTGCCCCTTCACGATCTCTCTGAAGGTCACATGGGTAGGCGTGAGCTTTGGGCCACACACAATCCCGACTCCCGCCCGGTTGGCTTCTCCGTGGCTAAAAAAGGTCTGGCCACCCATGAGGTGTTGTCGTTGAGCTTGCAGAGCGGCATCGAGGTGCGTCTCCTGCAGGAGCGCCACCTCGACGTTTTGGTCTACAAGGAAACGACACATGCGGCTCCATCTGTCATCGCTCCGAGCGCTGTTACAGTTCAGGCTTGCCACTCGTACGCCTGACGCCATTGCACATCGGGGAAGGGGGGGGGGGTATCCGGTGGTTACTTCAGAAGGAGGTCGCCCTCCTTCTTCTTCAGTTTTTGTGCTAGACTCTTCAGCCGGAAGCCTTCCCCGGCTGAAGCATATCCCTGCAGATCCCGGCGTATTTTGTTCGCCGTTTTAAGGAAACCCAACGCATCGGGGAAGCTGTCCAGGACGTTGATTCCCCGCTTCCCGAAAGATGTTTTGAGGAAGCCTTGGATGGCTTCGGGTGTGTATTCCCTCTCCTCTCCCACCCCCGAATAACTACATTCACTGGCCCCGTCGTCGACGGAGATGACGTCGTCGTCGTCGTCGTCATCGGCCCCCAACCGTTTTTCGCCGTCGTCGTTGCCGTGTGCGTCGACGCGAACTCCGGCCGTCTTTCCCCCCTCGACTGGGGGGGTAACATGGTCTCGCCAGGCTCGGGGCGCCCCCTTTCTGTGGTCTCTACGACCCTCCCTTCGTAGCACGCCGCAGCGGCCTGCACGTCCCCCCGGCCGTGACCGTCTTCGCTTCTATCACGCTGCACGGCGCCAGGGTCTCACCCAGCCCGGAGCGCGCTTCATCCGCGGGGTCCGCGATCGTCGCCCCGTCGCGCGATGGGGTGGGCGGGGTGGTCCCCTTGGGTGCTGCTGCCCCCCCAGGCTCGGTGGTAGCTCGCGGCCGCTCCTCCGCTCGTGCCGGCGCGTCCTCACTGGGTCCGGTGGTCGTCCCGTTGCCTCGGTCGTGCCCGGCGTGGTGGTTTTGCTCGGCGCCGGCGGCGGCGCTCATCTCGCTCTCCGCCACGCCCTCGCTGCCGCTCTCTGCCGCCCTCCCTGGGCGCCTCCCATCCCGCTGGTACCGCCAACGGTGCCCGCCCGCTTTGGATAGGTGCCGTCGCTTCCCTCCTCTGCTCGGCTGCCCTTGGCTTTCCGCTTTCGCGACTT